CCGTCTTTGGTGATTGTTCTTTGGAGAGTCTAAAATGAACACCTAAAGGTGTACTTACTGGTTTAACATTTTGCATGTTGAAACTGGAGAGTACTTTGTTGATGTACTCCGCCTGTGATAACATCAAAGTCCCCGACTTTGTGTCTCTCTTAATCCTCATCCCAAGAATCTGCTTCGCAGCACCCAGATCCTTCATAGCAAACTGTTTCGACAATTTTTGCTTCAAGTTTATAATCTCTTGCATGTCTGAGCCTGCAACGAGCATGTCATCAACGTAAAATAATAAAATAATAAAGTTGTTGTCGAACCTCTTGATGTAGCAACAATGATCTGCTTGGCAACTGGTAAAACCACTACTACTCATGAAACTATCGAACTTCTTGTACCACTGTCTAGGAGCTTGTTTTAAACCATACAAACTATTCTTCAACCTGCATACCAGGTTTTTCTTGCCTGTCTCTATGAAGCCTTCTGGTTGCCTCATATAGATTTCTTCCTCCAAATCACCATGAAGGAAAGTTGTCTTTACATCTAACTGCTCAAGATGTAGACTTTCTGTAGCTACAATTTTCAACACCAGTCTGATTGTAGACAGTTTTACGACTGAAGAGAAAATTTCATTGAAGTCAATACATTCTTTTTGCTGAAAACCTTTGACAACCAATCTTGCTTTGTAGCTTTTACTCCCATCGTGCTCTTCTTTGATCCTGTAAATCCACTTGTTATGAAGCGCTTTCTTGTCTGGTGGTAATTCAGCTAATTCCCACGTCTGATTTGACATAAGCGAGTCCATCTCATCTTTCATGGAAGACTCACACTTGACTGAATCCTCCACCTACATTGCTTCATCATAGCACTCTGGTTCACCATTGTCTGTCAGCAATAAGTAGTGCAAAGAAGGCGAATAGCGTTGGGTTGGTTTAGGAATTCTGGAGGAGCTTCTTAGTTCCGGTGTGCCTGGTTCTTCTTGAACTGCTTCAGGACTGATTTGAACATCATTTCCAGAAATCTCATCGAACTCAACAAATTCCTTTGTTTCAGCTTCGGTATTGGAGCTACTTGATTCTATGGTTGCCCTGTCTTTATACATCACATTTTCATTGAAAATTACATCTCGGTGTTGAGCCACTGATACCCCTTCCGCTATCCGTAAATTGAATAATCGCCTCATCAAGTGAACTTTATTTGAGGCCGATGACTTCCCATACATACTGGAGAGAGCCGCCATAAGACCCACCGTGGTCTTTTCCTTTGCTATGTTGAAAGCAACATTTCGGGACAAAGTTAGTCGGATAACTCCAAGGGCTTGTCTGTCGAGAAGAGCCCAGTCTTCATTCTTCATGCCCTCTGGTTGCTTTCCTGAGAGAGGTTGATATAGATTTTTCTGGTACAAAAAATCTTCAATCTGCATCTTCCAAAAGTCAAAGTCTGCACCATCGAACTTTTCAATTTTCACCTTCCCTTCGTCTGCAGCCATCGCTCCCACTCGAATATGGCTTCTTTGGATCGTTTCTGACAATTTCTACGAACCGCCGTGTATTATAACACATCCGTCGACAAACTTGTATCGCCGAATTTTTTTTACTATTCACGAACTTCACTATTCACATGAATAGTAATAAATAGTAACCTCACAAAAAATTGACAAAATTCACAACCAAAAGCTCTGATTACCAGTTGTTGGGAAATAAAAGAGTAATTTCCCTATAACCAGATTAGTGAGAATGCGAAATAAAAGCGAAAAAATAATACCCGAAATTGATAATGGAGTTCAGCCAATTTTGCCTACATCTCCGGCCTGCTGCAGATATTTTACTAAAGAGAGAAAATTTACAAGTGTTTACAAAACACTCACAACTTACAAGAGAACTCTCTAAACTCTTTAGTATTGAGAGAAAGAAATGATTTTGGGATGATTTTGAAGCTAAATGAATTAGGGTATTTATAGTTGAAGCTTAAGGACTAATCTTTGAAAATACCCTAAAGTGCAATGACTAAAAAAACTTTCCCCATTTTTTTTAATCAGTCGGCTGCCACTTTATTAATTTAGCAGCCCATGTGCTTTGAACTTTCAACAAGTATCAATATCCAAACCCATAAATGTCCTATTTCACTTGTAAATAACCTTTAAACTCATTCTAAATACTTATTTTAATCCTTCAGATGCTTATTAAAGCCTATGGAAGTATTAAGAGATCATAAAACATCATTTTCATGCATTTGTAGCATTCAAATCTATCCCATGATATTCACAAGCACTCAAGTTACCCAACATGCTTTATCACCCCATACAAGCAAGCAAAACTAAATACAATGAGCTACAAGTAGTTGGGAATAGTTAAAGTGTGTTACTTCAATTTTCAAGTAACCCATAACTTTCGTAGCTCACCATAGAACCAAATCTTTCTTGCTCTTATCGTTAAAAACTTAATAGAATTACTAATAAAAACTTAATAGAATTACTAACGTGATGACGTTAGTAATTCTATTAAGTTTTTAACGACTGGTACCAAATTGAAACATAAATTAATCGTTACGTATGATTTAAAAAAAATAAGTTTGGATACTAAAACAAAACAAGAGTAATAATTTAAGTATTGAATTTGTAACTTATCCTAAAATAATAAATACAAAGTTTTAAAATTGAAAAATACCACTTTTGAAGTTAAATTTTCCAAGTGGTTGACATTTAACATCCTCTGATTAATAAAAAGACTATACATGCCGGTCTTGGAGGGCAACAAGTCCACTCTCTACCTGCCTCTTTTCTTGGTTGCCTTTCCACATTTCAACTACACTTGTGGATGGATCAAGTTAGGGAGGGAGCCAGGATTTCAACTTAAAAGGGGTTAAATATAATTAATTATAAAATATGATGAGATAAAATATAATTATTTATAGAAAATGAGAGGGTAAAATTAAAATAAACTAAAATTTGAAGTCCTAATTTAGTATTTACCCATATATTTCTTTAATAATAAAATGAGCAATAAAATTAAAATAAACTAAAAAATGAATTCCATTTAATTTACATATAATTTAAATATTTAAAAAATATATAGATTATGTTTAGTGTAACTTGGTATAACTTATGAAAGATTTTTATTGAATAATGAATATAATTATATTAAAATTTATATAACATTAATTATTAATTTTTTATAATTTTTTATTTATATAAAAGTACATAAATATAATTATGATACAAAATTTAAAAAATATTTTTAATGTTTAATATAACTCATATCATACGATATGAAAAATAAAAATAATTACTATAATATATTATCATAAGTTGATAATGCGAACATAAACACATAATCCGTAGGAACAAAATAAAAAGGATTAATAATATACTAAAACTTCTATAAATATAAAATATCATTTTAACTATAAATTTAACACAATAAAACCAAGTGCACATATGTTGCTGAATTGTCGTTATTATAATTAATTGATTCATGTATTTGACACGTTTGGACATTCTATTTTTGTAATAAAATATTCTTAGGATACAAATTTAATCCCAATATAATTAAGACTTTAATTACATTTTAGAATAATTTCTTTTCAGTAATTGTTACTTACATGTGCATTATTTTTAAATTGTTTAAAATAATTTCTTTTTCTTTTTCCTTTTCCTTTTTTGCCTACCTTATAATTAAGGAGGATCATTTGATTTGAATTTGAAAATTTTGATATGGTCTTATTTGATAGAACCAATTTTTTAAGATTCAGTTTTGAATCCGATTTGATCAGTTTTTTAAGGATATAGTTGAGTCGAGTTTATATTTAGGGTGAAAAAATACAATCCAACCTAGTCAAAAAATATATATAATTATCTTTTACATATTTAAAGATAATTACAACAACATTGGTCTCTCTTTCTATATATTTGTTTACAAGAGGAGGAGAGGATAAACTATCTTATGTAACTTCTTCTTCCCGAAGGCACCGTCGTACTTCTTCGGGAGGTTCAGCTACTTCTTGCAAGCCTTGAGGGAGTGACCACGCTTGTTTGACTACGCCATATGCTATTCTATTGATCTTCCTCTTTAGATGTCTGATATCCACTCTCCAGGTTTCCTTTATTTTGGATAAAGTTTTTAGAATATATACTTGTTTCAGGTCGAGTGCGGATTTTTATTCTGAATATTTGATTGGATTTCAGGTCTGGCGAAGTCTCGCCAAACTTGAATCCGATAGGATTTTAAGAGTACAAATTTCAGGTCAAGTTTGGATGGCCAAAAAACCCAACCGGACCACTACCATCCCTACTTATAATATGAATTATGTTATTTTTTTCAATAGAATTAAAAATAGAAAATATTTAAATTACAATAAAGGTTTACAACAGACTAAACATATAATAAGAATATTTTCTTAAACATAAGAAAACTAACCACTTAAGATCACATAAGGACCATAAGTTAAAAAATCTTACTAAATAAACTCGAAAAATAGATAAATATAAATAGATCTGAATAAATCGGCAAACGAACCGCAAAAGGTAATAAAATTATTGAAATAACATCGAAATACTATAAATCAGAATCGAACGATATGAAAATACTATCTACGAACACAAATCGCATATTCAAATTCAATTTGAGAACCCTGAATATCATTTAATTATAAATAGTTGAGAATTCAATTTTATGGGACAACTTGATATGAGTGACATACTTTAGGGGTAATGATGCATTTAAACCTAATTATAAATTTAAACTTATATAATAAAGTGACCTCATTTGGGAACCATGAATATCATTTAATTATAAATAGTTGAGAATTATATTTAAATATATATTATTTTATATTATCCTATATTAATTATAAAAAAATTTATTTAATAATTTTAAATTAATATAAATTCTTTTTACTTTTTTAAATAAAAAATTCTTTTTTATTTTTATATCGTATAAATGATTTATACCCATATAAAAAATTAGTAATTATTATTTTAAAATGTCATTTTCAATTCTCATCTTTAGACTTTCTGCACTCAAAGATGAAGATAACACGAAACTATCAGATGAACCAACCACTTACAAAGGAAAGAAGAAGAAGAAAACGGAAAAAAAAACAAGACGTTAAATAATCAGAGAGAAGCAAAAGAAAGCAAAAAGTACAAAATTTACCCTTGATTTATGAACTGAGAAAAACAAGGGAAGAAGAAACACAGAGGGAAAATGGCGGAGCAAGGGAAAAGATCAAAGCTATCAGCTCCAACATATCCCACAATAACTTTACCACCAAGACCAGCCATTGATGGGTTATTTCCAGCTGGTTCGGGGCTAAGTCCGGGGCCTATGACTCTTGTTTCATCTTTTTTCTCGGACCCTGACTCAACAAATAGGCCTTTCTCTCAGCTTTTAGCAGGTGCCATGGCTTCACCCGGGGCTAAACTTCCTTACAATCCAATGGACAGCTCGTTTATGGAAATGGGTTTTGAAAGTGGAGGTGAAAAAAACACTGGGTTTAAGCAAAGTAGACCTTTGAATTTTACTGTTGGTAATTCTCCTTTGTTCACCGTGCCTCCCGGTTTAAGCCCTTCTGGTTTGCTCACCTCTCCTGGCTTCTTTTGCCTTTCTCCTCAGGTAATTTAAGTTCGCTTTTGATGTTTTGATTATGGGTTTTCTTTTTCTTTGTGTGTGATAATGGAAATTAGAGGGAAAGGTAAGTTTAATTGCTTTAATTAAGGCAAATGATTTGGGTTTTTGTATGTATCCGACAGTCAAACACGAATCTGAGTAATATGGGGATTAATCTTATTTTATGATGACTTGTTATGGCCTGCATCTAGATTACATGCTGAACAGTTGAGAATTGTGAACTCCTTTGTTGGGTCAAATGTTGCTTGAGATGTTAATACTGAATCTTATATTCTTTCACTGTAACTTGTTCGGATCGATTACTGTGGTCTAAATTTGGATTTGAATTCACGACCCTTAGATGTCGGTATCTTCATTTTGCTTCGGCGATCAATATAGAACTCATAGTATTATGTCAATTACAGCTATTGAACATGGAAGCTTTAAAAAGGGATTATTTTCATTACAATCATAGTTTACTTTGTGACTTGTTTCCTTGTTAATCGCTAGCGATCTATCATAACTCTTTGTATTCTTCTTTTGATGAGGATGGGTTAATCGAACTTTTTCATTTGATAACTAGCGATCTATCATAACTCTTTGTATTCTTCTTTTCATGAGGATGGGTTAATCGGACTTTTTCATTTGATAATATTTGCAGAGTCCTTTCGGAATATCGCACCAGCAAGCATTGGCACAAGTTACAGCTGAAGCTGCCCTAGTCCAATCTCATGTGCGTACACAACCGGAATACCAAACTTTATCAGTAGCAGCGCCTTTGGAACCATCAAACCCTCATCCATCAATTAATACTGAAGAAACATCACAGAAGATGCCTCTTTCGGTCTCTGACCCTCAAAGTTTGGCAATGGAATACTCAGAAGCTTCTCAATTCGATAAAAAAAATCAGCCATCTATTGCTGTTGATAAACCGGCTGAAGATGGATACAACTGGCGTAAGTACGGGCAGAAGCATATTAAAGGCTGCGAGTACCCACGAAGCTACTATAAATGTACACATCTGCATTGTCCCGTCAAAAAGATAGTCGAGCGATCTGCTGAGGGCCACATAACTGAAATTGTTTACAAGAGCGTTCATAATCATGAAAAGCCTCAACCGAATAGGCAAGCAAAGGGTGGAGGTGATGGAAACACAAATTCACAGGCTAATCTGGAACTAGGTTCTCAGGGTGTAGCTGGAAATTTGAACAGCTTAAGAGAAATTGTACCAGCTCATTCCATACCGGGGGAAAATCATGAATCTACTCAATCTGTGGAATTATCTGGATTTAGTGATGGTGAGGAAGGATGTGATGAAGAGAGTCGAGAAGAAAGAGACGATGATGAACCAAATCTGAAAAGAAGGCAAGTTTCAGATCTATTTGAAACTGGTTTGGAAATTTTCAGTTTTTCAATCTTTGTAGTTTTGAGAGTTTTGTACTTTTTGACTGCAGGAATTCTTCAGGAGAAGCTGCAGTGATGTTGTCACACAAGACGGTCATGGACTCAAAAATTATAGTGCAAACAAGAAGTGAAGTTGACCTTTTAGATGATGGTTATCGGTGGCGCAAATATGGACAGAAAGTTGTCAAAGGGAACCCTCATCCAAGGTACTATGGACTATATTTGCATGCCTGTATATATATGTTTATTTGTCTACGGTTCGAATAATCACATCATTGCATGAATTCCCTTGATGAACATATTCTCGATTTATTTAAGTTACAGTTGCCTCTCTGTTCAACATCTTGTTAGTTCATAAAGCGTTTTTCTCCCGGAAAACCATTCTATTGGCAATCTTGAACTCTTCGATCGTTTGAAGATACACTAAATCTTACATATATCTTTTACTCCTGGTATAAACTTCCTAGTGCTATATAATGTCAAACTGATTGTTTGATATATCTGGGTATCGACCTCCAGAAAAGGTTTGATCTAATTTCGTGAATCATTTCAATGATCGGGCCAACTATTATTGGTACATACTCGATGGTTGCTTTACATTGTGGTGAGGAACCCTTTTGAATCATTTTTGCCTGTGGTATTATGAGTTGATCGAGTATGTCCGGTCCAGTTAATTCATATGCCCATGATCCGCTTCATTGTCCTTCTAGTTATATTCTTTTTGCTTTCAAGCTGCTGTACTTGCAATTGCTCATTTTCCTTTTTCTTCTTTGGGGTATTTCTGATGCATCTATGTTGTTCCTACAGGAGCTATTACAAATGCACGAGTCCAGGGTGCAAAGTTAGGAAGCACGTGGAAAGAGCTTATTCCGATCCCAAAGCTGTCATCACAACATACGAGGGGAAACACAATCACGATGTCCCAGCGGCCAGAAACAGCAGCCACAACACAGTTAACAACAGTTTGCCTCCCCCGAAACAACACGATGTGGTCTCCGAGAAGCATTCATTGCTTCAAGAGATGGAATTTGGAAAAAATGTCCAGGGGCCAGCAGTTTTAAGGCTAAAAGAGGAGCAAGTAAGAGTGTGAACTCCTCTACTAAAAGTTATTAATAGGAAGTTTGGCTGCCGATCACAGCCGGCTAACTCGATTATGAAATGAACAAGTATATTGACAAAAAAGGGTCAAACAATCACGAAAGGAAATCAAATGATAATAACCCAGTTTTGCATGTTGTGATTCATAAGTAATGGTGTAATATGTATTGTGTTCTTGGATGGTTGACGAATAAAAGAAGGGATTGTAGATACTGAGATGCAAAACGCATATTCGGTGGAAGTTTCTGGGCTTGTTTGTTTGTAATTGGCCAGGTTTTCCTGCAGGCTTGTGGCAATGGATATACTTGATGCTTATTTCCGATCAAAACTACTACTTTTGAATATGAAACTGTTATTATATAATAAAGAACAAAGATAATTTTCAACCAAAAAATAGAAATATTTTTGCTATAGGATAATTGTAATTGCTTTCTTAATGTTCTTCCAAGACCCTTTTCACATGCTCTGATAGATTCCTATATGTTTGGAGCCATTGAGAGCATTAAATTGTGAGTTTAATGACCTCATGAAAACTGGGTCGATTGTTTTGGGTAATTATATCGGTTTAGAAAAATAAATCGTTTTCTTTTAAAAATTAAATCTGAAAATATTTTAAAGTTGATTAGGGTAAACTATGTATTTAGTCATCCACCTTTTCTCTCGATTTTGTTTTGGTCATTCAATTATTTCTTTTTCAAAATCATACATAACATTACATTTTGGTTTTGTTTTGGTCACCTATCGTTAAAAAATGAACGTAAATATTGACGAGACAATTTTTTTGAATTTTCAATGATGACATTGCATTATTTTATGGTGACACATCAATATCGCCGTTAGTTTTTAACGAATGGTGGCCAAAACATAATGTTGGGTATAATTTTGAGAAAAAAAATAATTGGGTGACCAAAATGAAACCGCGAGAGTAGGTGGTTGACTAAATACATAGTTTAACCTAGTATTTATATGAAAGTCTAAGTGTTTATTTATTGGGCAAAGTACATTAGAGAACAATGAATTGTGCTCAAATGATTGTTTTAGTCACCAAACTTTCACAATTTACAAAAAATGATTATTAAATTTATCAAACAGTTACAAAATGATCATTATGCAATTGTTTGATAAATTTATTAAACTGATACAAAATGGTCATTGAATTTACCAAATTGTTACATAATGATAATTTATTGAAAATTTGCAATTATTATAACCTTAAAGTGACCATTTTGTAACACTTTAAAATTTAATAAAGATTTTATAATTTTTGAAAGTTTAATAATCAACAATTCATTTGAGAAAAATTAATGACTTTTAATGTATTTTTTCCTTATTTATTTATAAAGTCCTAACAAAGTTTTTTTTTTTAAAAAAATCTTGAAACAATAATGGATTTTATTGAAACAAAAGAAAATACAATCTTAGCAATACAACCAATCAAATTGAGAATTTTAGGGACTATTTTCACCAAAAAGAAATCAAACATAAAATAAAATAAAATAAAATAAAAATCCAAAGGCGCAATAACACTTGAAGCCTTCTTTTGAATTTGACGTACATCATTTATAGTAACCCAGTAATCATCAATATTATTTCTTTGTCTCTATTCAACCAGACACTTTAGAGATGATGGAGTGGCAAGTGAACCAAAGCAAATTTATAGGTTGCTTCTCAAAATAGATCTGAATACACCAACAAACGACTACAAAAGGGAATCTAACCACTGAAAAGTTACCAACAATCGCAAATCATATACACGTGACATAAGAATCTTTACATAATCGCATATCTATCATAAAACAGATGAAACGTACCACAAAAATAGAGTAAAATGTGTCATTATAACATAGCTAAAAAAGAGTTTTGAAATTAGGAGTGGAAATATTTTTAATCTATTTTATGAGTATTTTAATTATATTTTCTTTATAGTAAAGCATTCATGGACCCATCGAGAGATGTAACAACAAATCCTTGATATCAAAACTTCAACCCAAACACTTTAAAATCGCTTCAATAATAATAATAACAACAACGATGATAATAATAATAATAATATCTTAATCCACTAAATGATTAAAAGATTAATTAATCAATCATTAAAATCAATTAAACAGTTGGCCTACCACATCCATAATAAGCAATTCCAAAGTAGATCCCATCTCTATTCACCTAGTCAATCAAAAGTTGTTCTACCTAGCATTTCTTTCCGGTAAAATACATAAGAGGAACTTAAATTATACCTAAATTATATTTTTAACCATTAAATTTTTAAAAATTATAAAATAATTATTATAATTATCGAACTGTTATGAATTGTCACCACATATTAAAGAAAATATCATTAAATAGTTATTAAATTTATCAAATTATTATAAAACATCAAATGACAGTTTTATAACAATTAGATAGATTTAATGATCATTTGGTAATGAAAGTTCAATGACTAAAACAACATTTGAGAATAGTTTATGGTCCTCTTGTGTACTTTACCCTTTTATCCTTCGAACGGGGAAGATAAAAAAGAGAAATAATAATATTATATTATAGATATCAAGATTTGAATTTATTTTTTTATAAATAAAAAGTTTTGAGCAATTTTATTATTCGCAACGCTTAAAAAGATTACATTGAAATTTTAAATATAACATTTATATTAATCTCTGTATAATACATACAATAATTCATTTTTAAGTGAATAATCTATATTTAATTATAAACTACATAAAATATAGGTCGAGTTAAGATACGATACAAACGCACATAAAAAATAAATTAAAATATATGAACATGTAAATATTATATATATTCTGTAATTTATTAAACCGAAGTTAGTTATTTTACTTTTTTTCTATATTTTATGTATAAGTATTTAACATTCTTTTATGAATTTTACAGTTTTTGATAATACGTATATATGATTTTTAAATATTTTATGATATTTTAAAGTATATTTTTTTTATCTTTTGAGAAAAAAAAAATAAAATAGTTGACATCGATATTAGTGGAAACTTAAAAGAACTAATATCAATTTTATAGTTTGTTTTTATCGGTTGATTTAATTCGATAAAAATAATTATGTCAATTTAATAAAAAATTAGTTTTAGCAAACTAATTGTTTTATCAAAATATGCATAAAATATTTTAAATTCATATAAAATTATTTTTATTAAGTTGATGTAAATTGTTTTATGAAAATGACTATTTTCATCAAATTATGCAAACTATTCAAGGTACAACTTAGTATAAGTCATATGTGTGAAAATTATGTAAAATTCTTTTCCTTTTTAAAAATTTTATTTTTCTAATAAACAAATTAAAATTTCAATTTTATCCAAAAAATTAGGCTAATGTCAATACATAATTGTCATTAAATCTGATTTTGATTCAAATTTGATTACTGAACTGAAATTTTGAATAAAATTGAAAATTATCATTTTTATAGGTTTGAGGGTTTTATTAGATTTGAAAGATTTTGGGTGTTATTTCAAAAATTCAAACGATGTGAAATATTATTTCGAGAATATCAACAACATACCTCAGAATTAGATTCATCAGACGATCATCGAGGAGATCAAAGTATTAGCAAGTTGAACTTTTAAATAGATTTTCGTCGATTCTGAGTGGGTTTCGTTAAAACCAATCCTAGTAGAAGAAAGAGGGTGAAATGTGAACATTCTGATATCGATCTTGTTGCAAAAGAAAAACGATGATGAGCGACGATTGGTTGCAAATGGTGATTGAAAAAGTTTAGTGCAAAAGTTTGAGTCCTTTAAAAGTTTAGCTGCAAAATTGATATACACCTAATTTTCAGTGCCTAAGATAATGTCATTTCGTACAACGATAATCACGCCAAAATTATTTTATATTTTTCACATCATCACAGTGACAAAAAGATTCATTCATGTTACCAAGCAGTTAAAATTTAATAGCATATAATTAAAGTTAAAACTAAAATTTAATGCTACAATAAGAGAAAATAAATACCCATTGATTTAAACGATATACCGTTTAAAAATTAACTATATGGTATTACATTTCATTAACGATCCGACGCATGATCGATATCCTATATGTGTCCGTGATAGTCTAAAAAAAGCAAGATTGAATATCAAATTGCACGTAAATTCATGTCGTCAAAGTTTTTGCAAGAACAAGAAAACCCGAAAATTCTATTATGGACCCACGAATCTCTCTAATCTATCCCGTTTTTCATTTCTTTTCCTTTGCTAATTCTTATGTTCCCTCCGCAGATTTCGCAAACAAAATCTGTTTTTTTTTCCTTTCAATTTCCCCTGTTTTCCCTCTGTTTTTGTTTCTTCCCGGTAACTCTGTTTTCGTCCCGCTTCTCTCTTTGTTTTCTTTCCCCTCGGGTTAAAAATGGTTCCACTTTTGTTCTGATGAGGGGATGATTTTCCATTTTTGACCCAGACCTGTTTTCTTGATCTGGGTCAATCTTGGTTTCTCGAGCTGGACAATGGGTTGCATTAGCTCCAAACATGGCGATGGTGGCGATGACAGGATGGTGGCAGCCTCCCCTGCTCCATTGGTCCACAAAAACAGCCATGGCTTCACATTTTCTTCATCATACAAGCAACAATCTGGGAGGGTAGAGGTCGATGGAGATGATGAGAAATTGGAGGAAAACGGTAGGATCGTCAACCAGAAGAGAAACCGGGAGTTGAAGAAATCAAAGAGGGAGGGTTCCGCAAGGAAGAGCGGCTCCTTTAGCTTCAAATTGAGCTTTTCTCAGAGGCTTCTGGAGGCTGAACATGTCGCCGCCGGTTGGCCTTCTTGGCTTAGCTCGGCCGCTGCTGAAGCTGTTCATGGTTGGATTCCTTTGCAGGCTGATTCTTTTGAGAAGCTGGACAAGGTTTTTAATATTTTCGCCATTCCATATATATATATATATATATATATATTAATTACAAACATTGCATAAATGGATGTGTTTGCAGTGTCAAAATATGAACTCAATCACACCCTTTGTATTTTGCA